TGGGCAGTGCTAGCTGGCAGCGCTAGCTGGCACGCTAGCTGGCTGCCAGCCTAGCAGCCATATGGCGGTTGTGAGGAAGCTTGTGGGGATCAATCAAGGGCCTTGGGGAGCAAGGCATATGGTCCCCCACCTAACCTTGGGCACTACTCCTTTGCACATGATCATGCCACTTGTCGCAATATGATTTAGTTGATTATTTATGTAATTTGGAAATTAAATAAATCATTGACTTTTCAACTCTCCCACATTGGTGGGAGATTGAAATCCAAGGACCCATTTCCCTATAAATACCCTTCAAGGGTGTTGGGAAATGGACAACCTTGAGTGGAATTAAAAAGGCAACTCTTGTAATTGAGTAAACCTTTGATTCGTAAAACTCATAGTTTTGTTTTGTCCGGGTCTTGACTAACCTTCAAGACTTGGGACGCTCGGGTCGGGTCGAGGGTACGATCCGTCGGAGATCTCGTAGTTTCGGGATTTTGAAATAAGAGCTCTTCGAGAGCGAAGCACGTAACAAAGGTATAATTCTTGTTCTTAGTCTTGCTTGATTAAGTTTATTATGCTTGTTAATTACTTTAATTAAGGGGAGGGTCTTGGGGGGTTTCCTTCCGCGTAGTGTCGGGTCACTACGAAACCCTACAATGAAGCCTACAGCAAGGCTGAGCGATAGCTCGCCAAGCCCAGCCGTGGGTATGGGCCTTGCGTGAGGCTTGTGTTGCTTACTTCTTTTTCTTATTTCTCCTATAAGTACTACTACTTGGCCTTTATTTCAATCATACATTATTTTCATTATTGAAATACCCTAAACATACAAACACAAACCTTCCCTTTAAGATCTGAACAATTCTTGAGTAATTCCACTCTTCGGGTTCGGATGCACGAATTACGAGGAGAGTTGCGTTAATTTTGGGGCGCGTGCGTCCCTAGGAAACTTGTACCGGTGGTGGCGTATTTTGCTTCTAAGGAAGTGGATTCTGTTTCGCGGCGCGACTGTGAGTTTGAGATCATCAATCCAGGAAAGTTCTAAATATCTATTTATTATTGTTTTCAACAGTTATTTTACCAACAAATTTGTAAGTTGTTGATGATGTAATTAGTCTGTACTCTAACTGCTCATCTTCTATGTGGCTAACCACACACTTAACAAATGGTTTAGTCGTGTGCCACATCATCACTTAAAAGACTAACTTTACAGAACCATTCAATTGACGGAAACAAAGGAATCCCAGATGGTAAAGTAACACGGATTATTAGGTAATAACACCTATAACACAAACAAATGACCATGTAGAAATCATATACTCCGTGTTTTAATAAGTGTTACACTTCATTTTTTGGCAAAAACCTACATTTAAATATTATATCTCTGTCCTCTCATGGTCCCCACCTAAACCCACTACTATTTTTTTTTTATTTTTTTATATATTAAATATTTCCTTTCACATTCATTACTTTTCAATATTAACCCCACTGTCTTTCTTTTATAATTTTTTAATACTCCAACTCCCACACTTACCTCTTATTTTTATTTAAAACAATTAAATTGCCTAAACTTATGTGTCGATCAAAGTGTAACACTTATTAAAACACAAAGGGAGTATGGTAAATGATAACTTGTTATTTGGTATGAAATTAGAGTAGTTTTGAACCTTAATGTCGTACGAATTGGCATCTTAGTTCACTATTTATTCTATTTTTATGCAATTTTTGTGTACCCCATGCTTCACAAGTTTGTGCTTTTTATTGCATATTAGTGCTTAATAGCACTTATTGAAGCTATAGAGAAATTGAGGCACGTAAGGGGGAAGAAAAAAGGCAAGCACGGGTTGACGGAACAATGAAAGATACAAGAAAGAGTGCCTTGGAGTGAAATAAGAGCATTTGGAAGAATTTAACATGGAAAGATTACACAAGGGTCAACTTCGACTGACCATATTTTTTTTTCTACGTACTCAACATTTTGATGTGATTCAAATTAGAGAATAAAGATCATCTTAAGAGCTTTCAAACGACTGATTACATTTCTTTTTCAATGAGTAACCAAAAAGTTATGGCCATCCTAGAAAAGTATGCACGTTTGTGGCAAATTTTGGATGTCCGTGCAGAATTGGTTCTATATAGGCAGTAGCTACTGCCTTATCTTTGCCCTTTCTGCATGACCATGCGAACTTTGACACTTCTGTACAGACCTGGTTCCGGGTTATTTTCTTGTTTTCTCCGTCCTTAATACTTGGGGGTCATATAAATACCCCTTAATTAGCTACGATGGGGCTGTTTTTCTACAATCTCATATTAACCCACCCAAAATGCCCAACCCGCTCAAATCACATGACCCACTTTGCACACCCAACCCAACTCATCCAGCATGATCACGCCTAGCCCTACCTGCTAGCAAGCCTGCACATGATTATTTGTCATACAAACATGAGACCGAGGAAACTACCAAACTATAAGATGATGGCATGAACATAACCAACATCTTCATATATTGGCGAGATTTGAGAAAGCTATACTTGTAGTTTTCGCCTCATCCATTGCTTTTGAATCTTCTTTTAGTGTATGATGAAAAAATATCTCACTTATCTCCAGAAAGCATTCAAATTTGTGTTTATGAGAAAGGTCGGATTAAGTTGAAAGAAAAAAAAATCATGGTTTAAATTAAAAAGCAAGATGAAGAAGATGAAGATGATCCTTAGATAGATACTAACGGAGCAATAGATGGATCAGCTTCCGGTGATAATGTAACAAACGTTGGCTAGCTACAATTACACTAATCAAGAAAGTTAAAACAAACTATACATGTTTTAAATACTTTAGGACAAGCAGACAACTTATTTTTTTAAAATTGTAAATTAATTGCAAAATCTTTTTTTAGCTGTCTAAAGATAAGTTCAAGCCCCAATAAATTTCAAAACAAGTACAAAATAAGAACTACTCGGTTTTTATTCTTTATTTGTGATATAAGGATACATAGACATATTAATTTTTCTTATTATAAAAATTAAAAAAATTCTACATGGTGGCTTTCTGGAATCATAAATTCTATTGGAAGAAAAACTTTTTTTCCAATTTTCTGTAGTGGCATTATAGATTCATTAAACTCACTAAAGTGGCCTAATTGTTATTAAATCAACTAACCAACACTTAAACAGTTCAAATTCTAACCTTATTTAATCAAAAGACTAACCTTCCCTTAAATTAATCCTTCCCTCAAATATATAATAATAAGAATAAAAAAAAATAACACCACTTACTCCCCCTACCTACACCACCCTCCCCTTTCCCACTGGCGACCTCATCGGCACCCCAATCATCCTGGGTTCACCGGCGTGGGGAAAGGAGGTTTGGGTAAGGTAAAAGGGGAGGGGATGGGTCGCCGATGTAAGGGAGCAAGTTACTGGTGGGAGTGTGTGTAACACCCCCAAATCTCCCTCTACGGAAATACTAGTATAATACGTATAATTATACCGTAGAGATAGACTTAGGCGTATTACCGCCACGTGATTACGCAAGGCTACTTAATTACTAACCAAAACCAATACTTTGCAACGAAAATTCAAACTCTTTCTTTATTTACAATAACTATAAATAGAAACCATCGTCATGAGTACTCATAATTAAACCAAGACCAACAATCCTAATCTAGGTGAAGAACATTCCCGGGACTCCCATATGCTCAATTCTTGACTCCACCTGAAATTAGTCAACATTGCTTACCTTTCCGGTAAACAGGACGAACCAAAACAAATAAGAAATATAGATTAGCAAAATATGCAAATTACGATACACGACCTAGGTTAGCAATCAGCCGGTCACCGGGGACGGCTGAATTTAGGACTAGGGGTGCCGACTTCCCTGCGGTACTTCAAACTTTGAGCAAGTCCCGGAATCCAACTGTCTTTGTATCTATGCAGGAGAGTATGGCAAGAACAAAAAGAACAAGAGGATTGAAAGCTCTGATGGCTCCTCTTTTCGGGTTCAAATTAGCGAGCTGTCGGACCAGCCGCCTGATACCGCAGGGACCCAAGGTGGGCCTTCTGCCGAGAGCTCTGAGGAGGGAGCTAAGGTAGCCCCTTCCCACTTCACTGTTAACCTGGCCAGTTAGCAGATGGCCCCTGAAGAAGAAGAGGGGTCGGCCCCCTCAGGGAGAGGGGAGGAGTCGGACTCTTCTGATAGCGAGTCTGACTCTAGCTCTTCAAGCCGCCTCTCTATAAACTCAGAGGAAAGGCATTCTCGTGTGCATGAGGCAAGACTTTCTTATGCAGCTGAAAAGGGGGACGACTGGTCGGAACCATCCGCCTCTCATAGGGAGTTGAATACTCCTTACTACTGTCATGTCCCAAAGGGCCGGGTCAAGGCCATGAAAGAACGAATAGACTCTTTTCTATTGGACCATGTGATGGGTCCTGATTTTCAAGTATTTGTGCTCGATGCTGAGGATACAATCGTTTTGGCTGCTACGAGGCGGCCATTAAGGCTGGGCTTCGATTTCCCTTGCATCCGGTCGTTCAACAAATCCTCGATGGATACGAGGTGGGGCTATGACAGTTAGCCCCGAATTCCTGGTTCAACATCCTTGGCTATGTAGTCGGATGTGAAATGCGTGGGGTGGAGCCGAATTTTGAGGCGTTCACCCATATGAACTATCTTAGCCGAACCCCCAAAGCAAGCGGTACCGGCTGGTACCAAATAACAAGCCACAAAGGCTATCTGATGACGAGGGGCAAAGAAAATAAATTGAAGGATTGAAAAAACACCTTCCTCATCATTGCCAGCCCTGACAAGCTGCTGAACAAGCGCTACAATAGGTGGAACAAGGATCCGCCTCTTCTAGCAGGCGGTCGCAGCATGCCACTTGTCCCCCGCAAGGCTAGGGAAGAGATCCTTGACCGAGGACTCTTCAAAGTAGAGATTAGGGCAAACCCTACTACTGGGGTACGAGAGCAAGTGCCCCTAAACTGCGTCCCAAAGTTTCAATGGCTCTATGACGAGTATTTTCTGGCCGCTTGCGGCCTTAGCAGCCGGTCCTCCAGAGGTAGCAGGCTTTTTGAGCATATGTACACATCTTTGGCTTTGCTTTCGAATTTTTCTAACTCTTTGCGGTTTTATTTTCAGCTGAAGCTATGGACCACCACTAGTAGAAAAATTGAAAAAGGCACCCCCTTTTCCCACCGATTCTTAAAAACCGGTGGGAAAAGATTTGGGCGGGATTCGGATATTTACTTTTCGCAGCGGTTCTTTTGAAACCGGTGGCAAATGTGTTGTTAAAAAAAAAAGGGGTAAATGGATATGCCACCGGTTCAACCCAAACCGGTGGAAAAAGTACGCAAATTAAAAAAAAATCCGTGAAATACTCTTCTTCTTCAATTCCTTCAGCACGAACAATTTCATTCCCCTGCTTCCCCTTCAATTAATCTTCTTCTCTCGTTCTAGCCTGCCCTCACCATCTCCTTCACGCATAGGTTGTCCTCCATTGAAGCGCATTCCCTGGGCTTTCTCACCTCCATTGCCGCGCAACTCCTCTCTTTCTCTCCATATATAGCTATCTCCTCTATTGAAGCGCATACTGTCGAGCTTTGTGACCTCCATTGAAGCGCATTCTGAGCTTTCCAACTCCATTGTAGCAGCTTCGAGGTAAGAAATATTTCGTGGTCTTCCTAGTCTATTGAATAGCTTCGCAATCTAGGGTTAGTCGTTGATTTAAGGTTTTCTGTTCTTTGTGGTTTGGTTTTGTGACTTTAATTTCGAGTTGTGCATTCAACAATAGTTCATTGTTTTAGGGTTTTCTGTTCTTTACGGTTTGCTTTGAGATTTTGGGTGGATTCTCCTATGCTTAAAATGTGAACATGGATCGAATGACTTTCTTCAATACAATCTTTGATGTTGTGTGTGGTCTTTTGTCTTTATCCACCAGTATTATGTTTGCAAATCATGTAGCTTCCATTAATTGTTATGTCTACTGCTCCTTGTTCACTGTCTTTTTGTTCTGTGTTAAGTTGTGTGTTAAATTTATTATTTCTGCCTTCATGGAATTCTGTTGTAAAATAGTTCAAACCCTCTGTTACTGTTAGTTATACTTCCTCTTTCAGGGAATATAATCATAAAAAATAAAAATTGGTACCGTTATAAAATTGGCATGATGAAGGCAATATGCTATACTTCCTCTTTCAGGGAATATATTTTGTTGATCATTGAATAGGTTTGCCTATTTGGTATGCTTGATCATTTGAGTTGATTGATTACCAATTTTTTCGAATTCGGTTATTTGTTTGGTTTGATTCTTGTTGAGCATGCAGTTGCTTATTGGCTGTTGACTAATCGGGGATCAAGTTAGCTGAATATAAAGGTTTTGCGCTATTCAATTTTTTTGAATTAGGGTATTTTTTGGTTTGATTCTTGAGCATGCAGTTTTTTGTTAGCTGTTGAATATTTGGTGATCAAGTTGGCTGAATAAAAAGGTTTCGGTTAATTGAGGATTGATCTATTGGCTCATTGATTATAAAATTCTTCAAACTTAGGGTTTTTGGTTTGATTTTTGATTATTAGAAAGGCTTGCAGGATTGGTGTTTGATCTCTAGAGCTGTTATGACTTAACGTTTTGTCTGTTGCTGCATTGTCCTTTGTTACATAAAAATGTGGCAGAGTTTTGGGCAGCTACTTTTGCAATTTTTTCAAGCTTGTGAATATTACCAGTTATCACCAAAAGTTATCCACAAACCTATCTTACCCAAAAAAAATTTGGGTAAACATATAAATTCTATATAACTAATCTGATATTGTAGTTTGTTTGACTTGGTATTAATTAATTTCTGATTAGTGATTAATTTTACAAATATTATTATTGTTAATGGTGCTTTTTAGTGACTAATATGGCTAAATACCCGTACACCGGGACTTGCAAAGAAAAAATTGCCTTGCGGTGAGGAGATGGGTATATGATTGAAGTTTGAGGTTTGAAGTTATCATAATTAGTTGATTTATTTGTGGAATTTCCTTTGCCTTGACTTGCTTCTTTGCTGTTAAGTTATTGGTGATCAAGTGGGTTATTTGCCGGCTTTGTCTTCAGAAGCAATTTCTTGTATATTAGAGATCTCCAAAATATAATGCAGTGAGATTCCTTCTTGCTACAATCTGTGGACTGGTTCTTGGCTCCATATTCTGGGATATTGGTTCAAAAAGGTAGGTTCTTCTCATCCAGTTCCATCTCCACATACAAATGTTTGGCTGCCAACTATGCTTGAAGGAGTTATATACTATCATTATTATCTCTCAAAACATTATTATATAGAAATTTACAGTAGAGAAGTCATTTAAGTATTTTAATGAAGTAATCTCTGTTGAAATTACACTCCTTATTTACAATTTACAGACATGCCTGTATTGAATATAAGGACACGTATACTATATTATATATTCAAAAAAAATCTGTACAAGTCCATTCTCATAAGATAATCTTAAAACACTAAAATTTATCACTTTATCAGTGTGGTAATCTGATTTTATTGTTTACCTAGTTCTTATGTATCTAATTCCAAAGAGTTTCTTTCTCATAGAACCATGGAATATTTTTCCAGTATTTGTGATTCCTTTTTTAATATGAAATGAGTTTTTAACAGTGAAATGACACTCTCTGAGAACTATAAGAGAAACAACATGATCACCTATGTGATGTAGCTTCACAAACACTTGCATGATATAAGCACCATACTTTGATTCAAGCAGCATATTTCAACTGCATCGCGAGCAACAAAGGTTGTATGCCAGAATGAATCAATAACTTTTTGGGATGATACATCACGAATGTTTAAGTTATGAAACTTGTATTGAAAACCTATATGAAGTATCTCTTGTCACTGAATGAATTTCCTTAATGCCGATGAGATGAATGAGTATCAAATAGATACTGTTTTATACTCCCGGAATGTATCAGATTGAATGCTTTGCTTCCATTTGTTTGAATCAGGCTCTTGTTGAAGTTCCATACATTGCTGCACAGACGTTATCATATGGCATCATCACTTACTTCATGATTGGTTTTGAAAGGACAATAAGTAAGTTAATTATTTATTTTATCACATATCCTCTTTAATTCTCTTTCTCTTAGTATCTGATAAGAGGCCTTGCTTTGCAGAAAACTTTACTAGGGTGCACTAATCCTATGAAACTGTTTAATTGCTCGTTAGAGCCAATTTTCAGCTCTTGAAAATCTCATTAAAAACACTTAGTTGGAACTAAACATAATGCATACATGAATTTGTGCACATTTATTTGAAATATTCACAATATTGTTCATAGCTACAAAGAGATCCTATAGATTTGTTGACATTCAATTGTCTTTTTGCAGGAAAATTTCTGCTGTACCTTGTCTTTACATTCCTTACTTTCACTTACTTCACCTTTTATGGTATGATGGCTGTCGGCCTTACACCTACGCAGCATATGGCAGCCATCATATCTTCTGCATTTTACTCACTTTGGAATCTATTTTCTGGTTTTCTTATTCCCAAGAGTGTAAGTGCTGTTTCTGTCTTTCTTACTGCTGCCAAGTTTTTCTGTCAAGCTAGTTGGCATCATGGCTTCTGGTTTAATGTACTTCACACATCTTGTACTAAGTCTTTCTCTTTTTCTTTTTTTTTTTAACTCATTTGTTAGTATATCCCTAGCTGGTGGATTTGGTTCTATTACATCTGCCCTGTAGCATGGACACTACGTGGACTTATTTCATCACAGCTTACTGATGTTGAGACCATCATCGTTACAGAAGGGTTTAAGGGCTTGGTCAAAGAGTATCTGGATCTCCATTATGGCTTTAACTCTGAAATGATTGGTATATCAGCTGTTGTTCTTATTGGCTTTTCTCTCCTTTTCTCTGGCGCCTTCATGGCTTCTATCAGATTCCTCAACTTCCAGAGAAGATAAGAAAGAACACATTCATTTGTTGGCCACTGCTGGTGAGAAATAGATTAAAATGAGGTTTATTCCTTCAAAAATCAGGATTTATATATGCACATATTTATAGCCATCTGAACATCAATGAAAGGAGAAATTCTGCTATGCTGAAATCAGGATTTATTCAGAATATATATGCAGGATATGGAATTTGCAGGAAACTAATTACACATTACTGCTGTAACTACGTACAATTTTGTTTCTTTTCTATATGCAAAGTTTGGCTACATTTCGGTCTCTGCCTTAAGGTATCAGTTTTTCATCTCTCATGTTATCTATCCAATACGAAATTGATTCTGATGCTGTATACCTCGTTTTGAAACCCAGGCGATCAGCTTTTGCTCGCGTTCCTAATAACTTCCTGGGGCTTCGAAACAGCATGTCCAAAAATGGTATGCATACTTTGCTATGAGTTAATTAATATTATCTCTTATCCAATTTGTGAATGACAGCAATTAACAGAGGTGGAAGACAGAAGCCATAGAGAAATGTGATGTGATGGTATATACAAAAATCTTCCTCAAGTTTCCATCTAAGTTTTGGCCTTTTGGGGTGGAGAAAGAGGTCTTCATCTATGCACATGACAGGAGAGGCTACTACACATCAGTTTAGGAGAACAGAAACAGTCGCATAGCAAACAGAAGAGCAGCCTGTCAGCCTGAACACACAACACAGCAGCCAGCAGAGCAGCCACCAGCACAAGACCAGGATAGCTCTTGCTGGAACTCAGACAATATGCTGTTTTTGAAGAAAATATATATGTTAGTGTTTATATGTCCATTTTGTTTTAGTTTTTTAAAGTGTAATATTACAAGTTATTGAGGCAGATATATGTGTTTTATGTATATTATGATTATATATAAGTATTTGGTACAATTTAAGTGAAAAAAATGCAAAAAAAAAAAAAAAAAAATTTTTTTTAAATTTTTGGGGCACTTTTGCCACCGGGTCAGTGTGAAAACCGGTGGGAAATGTTATAGTTTTGCCACCGGTTCACTTGAAAACCGGTGGGAAAAGTCCTTCAGCTATAAGATAAATCACATGTTTTTGCCACCGGTTGACTCCAAAACCGGTGGGAAAAGTGGTTTTTGCCACCAGTTTTGAACCGGTGGGAAATCTTTGGGGATTTAGCACCCCCCAAATTAAGAACGGTTCAAAACCGGTGGGGAATGTGTGGTTTGAACCGGTGGGGATTGGGGTTTTTCGCCTAGTGCACATTTCTGCGTCAAAGAAGGCGGCCGTCTTGCTGCAGACTTCCATCATGCATCAGAAGCGAACCTCTTCTGATTCTCCTGCCAAGGAGACGCCCATAGTGAGTTTCTGATCTTTCAAACTTTGCCTTGAAAGTCTGCTATTATTAGTATTGACCATTTCATATTTTTCGCAGGCGGGCACGTCCAAACCCTCCTCTTCCCAGCAGCCGGATACGAAGGCTCGCAAACTGGCGATTGGGAGCTCTCCTGGCTCTGCCAAGAAGCAGTCGGCTGACAAACAGCCAATCACCCCACAAAGTGTGGGTAAACCATCACAAGTCCTTAGGGACAGTCGGCCGCCAAGAAGTATAAACTGCTCTGCTAGACTTAACTTATTTCTTCATCGCTTTCTTCATGTTTTTGATGTTACTATTCTCTGGATGCAGGCGGCCCTCAAGAACAAGACTTGGTCCAAATGGCCAAGTCCATGATTAAGGCCATCCCTCTAGAGGAGAGAGATGCGGTCAAGGGAGTCGGCACCCTTGACCTAGACGGCATCATGGGTCTCCTTTCCGAGGTAGACTTAGAGTTTTTTTTTTTTTTTTTTTTTTTACTTTTCCTGCCGCCTGTTATTTTCAAATCTGACGGATGTTTTCCCCTTTTCAGACTCTACTGCGAGTACAGGGCCTCCGTAGGCCGATCAGCGCCAAGAACAAAGAGGTAAAGGCTGCTAAAGCTATGGCCGCCTCTGACGTTGATAAGGCAATGTTTCAAATTGCCCAAAATGAAATTTTGGCAACTGATATTCTTTATTATCAGGCGCAGGCCACTTCGACTGTCCGCACCAAGTTGGAGGCGGCCAAAAAGAAGAACAATGAGCTGGAGATGACTGTCAAAGATCTCCGAGGGGAGCTGAAGCCACTTAAGCTTATGGGGCTCCAATATGAATCTCTTCAGAAATCCTTGGAGAGCGTCAAGGAGCGCCTGCAAAAGCAGGAAGAGGCCATCACCAAAGATCTCAAAGCTAAGGCCGAGGCTGAAAAGATGGCTTTGGCTCAAGCTATGATAGAGGACTTGGCTCAGATCATGAAGATGACCTGGACAACCCTCTTCCCAAAAGCTCACTATGCCGCTTGGGATAAGAAGTTCAACGCTTGTATTGAAGAGTACAACCGAATGATCATGCAGCAGGCGGCTGGTGAAGACGAGGCGGCCGACTCCAGCTCAAAAGAGGAAGAAGAGGTGGTGGCGCTACAACCAATTGAGGTGGATGCATCTAAAGCTCCAGCCCCTGAAGACGAGACAACAAAGAAGGACGCTTTGGAGAATCAAGCGCCCATCATTGAGCTCAATCAGGCGGCAACTAACACTGAAGCCCCTCCCAATGCTTAAAGCTTTATTTCTTCAAACTTTTCTCCGGCTTGCGTGCCGTTTGTTCTTTTATCACTTTACCCGGCCAAGGGGCCGGGGTTTATGAATATTTTGCCGGTCTTTGTGGTCGGCTGTTTATATATGAATGTCGCGACCATCTTTTGGTCGTCTTTGCTCACTGAATACTGTTCATGCTTTATTTTTGCCAAGTGTAGAGGATCCTTACTATCCGCTTGCATGTCATACCGACTATTTCGGCTAAAAATGTTTTAAAATTTGCAATTTATTGTGAGCCAAAGATTGCGAACAGGTACTAGGTACCGACTGCCTATGCCCCTGGATGATTGCTTGTCTTGGTTCCAGGTTAGGCGATCAGTCGGCCATTTTCCCAGTCGATTCCCCAACATATTTTAGGAAACACGTTAGGTTTAATTTTTTCAAGTTAGAAAGGAACATACCGCTTTTAACCAGCCCGCCTGTTTGGTTAAATAAGAATAGTTCATGTGTCCCTGTTTGCCAAAAACCAGTCGACCTACGAACCAGATTTTTAAACATGTTTGGTTTGAAAAGAAATCATCTTAGTAGGGGTCGCAGTACGAGAGCTTTTGTTTGCCTTTGGACAGGCAGACTCCTCATACCTTTTTGAATTCCTACTAAGTATGAGAGAGTGACTTATGAGTAATCTTTGAGATTACTCATTCGTCAGCTTCTAAGCTTGAGTAGTAGAGGAACCAGGCGGCGGAGGCCGGCTGATCCCCTTGATTCGCCAATTTTTGTTGGCTATTTACCCAAGAGGTACCGACTGTACTTATCCCAAGTAATATAGTCGGCCATCCGACGCGGATGTTAACTGCTTAACACTTGTTTGGTTTAGTGTTAGAGTTATCCTTGTCTCAAAAACGGCTAGATGGTTGCCCTTGGGGACAGTCGTCTAGGTGTCGTGTAATTAGTTTATAGAGCAATGTTCCACCCAAAAGGGAGCTGCTCTCTGCGAAGAATTTCATCCGGAGGGATGTCGCCGGACGCCTGCTATGATGTTGGGACAGGTCGTATTATTTTGAGGATTGGATCAGTTGGCTGGGCGCCTGGTCTGATCATTCGGCCATAGGCCTTAAGTAGTTCATGGTGAACTAAGTATAGGAGAGTAGCCGGCTGTATAGCTACAAGCGGCCTGCCCCTCTTGAATACATTCGAGTAAAATGGAGAGTAGCCGACTGTTTTATCAGTTGGCATGCTGCTCAATTGATGAAAAACGGAGAGTAGTCGGCTGCTCGGGGAGCAGGCGGCATGCCTCTCTAAGTACAATATAGATGGAGCAAAATAGCAAATTTTATTAGTAGCTCTTGGCTATTTACATCATTCAAAAATAATACTTCTTTAAATTATCTACATTCCAGGTTCGAGGTAAGGATTGGTCGTCTGGTGTTTCCAGGCGGTAGGTGTCGTCCTTGACCTCTTCATAGATTTGGTAGGGTCCTTCCCAGTTGGGAGTTAATTTGCCCGACTCATTAGCCCTACCGACTGCCTCCATCTTTCTTAGTACAAAGTCCCCCACTTTGAGTGGACGCCTGTGCACTCTTTTGTTATATGACCTGGTCATTCTCAGGCGATAGACTTCATGGCGCAGGGCTGCATTGCCCCTTCGTTCTGGGAGTGAGTCCAATTCCAGGCGCATGGACTCTCAATTCGCCTCTTCGTCATACAACATTATTCGAAGAGTCGGCTCGTAGCGTTCAATTAGAAGAACAACTTCTGCCCCATAAGTTAGGAGGAATGGAGTTTCTCCAGTTGCCCCTTTTTCAGTTGTCCTAATGGCCCAGAGAACATGTGGTAGTTCGTCTACCCATAGGCCGCCTGCTCGTTCAATCTTCTTCTTAAGACCGTCTGAGATGATCTTATTGAAAGCTTCTACTTGGCCGTTTGCTTGAGGACAGCCGTCTGATGCAAAGCAGTGTGAGATGCCTTGGTCTCCCAACCAATTTTTGAGAACAGACGTCTCAAATTGGGGACGATTATAAAAAACCATAGACATGGGCACCCCAAACAGAGTGATGACATTTTTCCAGATGAAGGAGATCACATCCTTCGTCTTGATTCCCTTAACAGCCTCTGCCTCCACCCATTTGGTGAAGTAGTCGATTGCAACAAGTATGTACTTCCTGCCGCCTGTAGCAGGCGTATAGGGACCTAGGATATCCATGCCCCACTTAGCAAACGGTAGTGGGCTATGGACGGCCGTGAGATCAGTAGCCGGACGGTGGATTAACTTGCCAAACCTTTGGCACCTGTCATATTTTTTCACCATTTCCATGGCGTCTGTTTCTAAGGTAGGCCAGACGTAACCTTGCCGCCTTGCTCGTTTAGCAAGTGACCTTCCGCCTACGTGCGAAGCATAATACCCTGAATGTAGGTCCTCTAGGACCTCTTGTCCTCTTTCTAAGGTCACAAACTTTAAGAGGGGCAGAAGATAACCCTTCTTAAAGAGCTCACCCTTGCACATTTGGAAGCTGGACGCCCGTTTTTTCAGCAGGGTCGCGTGGGAATGATCATTCGGCAAGGTGCCGTCTGTTAAATATGCCCTGATTGGGTCCATCCAGGTTAAACTTCAATCTAAAACTCCAATAGGTTCCTCTTCAATACTTCTCTTTTCCATAACTTCCCAGAAGACGACTCTTGGAGTATCACAGGAGGCCGAGGATGCCAATTTTGAGAGAGCATCTGCCTGGTTGTTTTCGGACCTGGGTACTTGAGTTAGATGAAACTCTTCAACTGACCCGGCCTCTTGTCGTACCGCCTGCAAATATTTAATCATGGCCGGATAGGTTGCTTCGTATTCGCCATTATACTGACTCACTATCAATTGTCAGTCAGAGCAGGCGTCTATTCTTCTTGCCCCAGCCGCCTTACACATGCGGATACCGGCCAGTAAAGCTTCATATTCCGCCTCGTTATTCGAGGCTTGGAAGTTAAAACGTAGAGCGTACTCGTACCTGTCGCCTTTTGGCGACTGACATATGATGCCTGCCCCACACCCATTCGAAGTGGAGCTCTCGTCCACATAAACCTTCTAGACTTGGTCTAGAAATTGAGAATCAGAGGGCCAAGTCATCTCTACAATAAAATCAGCAAATGCTTGCCCCTTTACTGCTTTTCTTGGCTCGAATGTGATTTCAAGGCTCTGAATCTCTATCGCCCATTTGATCATTCGGCCTGACGACTCCATGGTTGTCAGTGGCCGCTTG